GCATCTTACACAGGTTATATTCTTATTGTTTGATGGCAAGTCTACTAAAGATGACCGAAAACAAGAGATCGAAATGTCTTGCAATCAGTCGTATTGCTTTATTTATTCATTGTCAAACATTTGGCTATGACGGAACAAAACAAAAATAAACCCAAATGCATCGACAGATAGTCCATTCAAAACTCTATTGATGCGTTGACAATACCTTTTTTGGAAGGTTAACTTAAAATCTGTTGTTAGCATAAAATATTTTTCGATGCCTAAATGCATCAAAATTAAGTGTTTCGACCTACAGTGTTTACCATATCGGCAACTGTTTACACATGGGCTGTGTCATGTTTCATGTTGAAATTATGGAATATTGTGCCAGCATTATATTGCACATTGATACATAATAAACGAGTGAGCATCATTCCTCAATCATTTTACATAAATACATCTATCTACTTCACGTTCTTTTTTCTTTTTTCTTCTTTATTCTATTTTTTCTTCTATCTGTTCCTCGTTAATTATATCTTGGGTCAACATATTGGCTTGTCTTCTTTTCTCCGTTAAACTAAGGCTTTTTTTGATATATATATATATATTTCAACAAATAAAATTATCATTCTGAATTTGCCTTTGTCTTTTTATTGTGAAAATTCTCTGTTTTTACTTAATAAACTATTCATTCGTTTCAGTTTGTCGGGTTCAAAAAGTACATCTTATCAAACTGATATGAAAACCATTGTCTCTAAAGCAGTGTGTTATTTCGCATAAAAAGAATTTTTTCGGATATCATAAATAGAAAGGTGCTCCATCTATGCTTATTAAAGAGTATATTCTCTTGCAATCAAGAATCAAAGCATGTTTTATTTCTATATTTCATCGTTTTTTATTATATTTGCAGGTTCTGTTTAGCTGTTTCTGTAAAATATTATCGATAGTTTATATTATAACAAAAAATTAGACTTACGATTCGAATCATGCTGAAATGTATAGCTATTACTTTCTCATTGATCAGAATAGGTTTTGATACGACTATGGTTTTAGCGAAGCAATCGGTTTTTTCTTTCTTCTTATTTTTGCTTTCTTACAATTATTAACGAAGCGTGACATCTTCATAAGGTAAGCAATACTTACGAGTGTAACTGTAATTGTAATAATCTCACTTTCTTTTTTTTCGTTCGTTCTTCATATATTTTTGCTTGTCCTCGTTTGTTTTTATTTTCATATTAAAGAAAAAATGCATTAATATCACTAGACTGAAGCGTATGATAATCGATTCTCAAAAGAAAATGACTCGATATAGTTATTTTCTATTATCTTTCTTTTTCGAATTTGAACAGCTAGGAAGAACCGATACTATTTTTTGGATTGTTTAATGCTATTTAAATAACTCTCCAAAAAAATTTTAGAAAAGTCCCTCTATGAGTCATTGCACGATAAGGAGGACTTATTCTGCTCAAATAATATCCAATTATGGGCAAAATTACGATCAATTGTCAAAAAAGCTGCTCAGTCAATTATCGTCGATTTAGCTAATTGTGATATATGTCTATAGAGAAAAAAATTTGATGAATTAATATTAAATCTGTTCAGAAAAATATTGTTTTATTCTCTAAATATTCAATTTTTTTCTGAGAGCTCTTTCATCACATAAAACACTTTCTTTTTGCACTTTTATGACAGTCATATCTTATCAAGGATATATTTGTAGAACTTAAAATTTTTACTGTGAACGCGTCTCATGTTCAAGTACGTCTCATAAAAATATGAATTGAAATGATTTAAATGTTTAAAAATTGACTGATACTGTCAAATATACAGAAAAAGTGTCATTGTTCGACATTTTATTAACATAAATATCTCAAGAGTAGGTAAAGTTAAAAGGTTCAAAGTGCAACCATGGAGTGATCTCATCGAGTGTACACTCTGAAAAATAAGCCAGCTCTGTTTAGATATTTAGTCGATCGAAAGACCCCTTCAACGAAATCGTTGTTTTGATGGCAAGATTGCAATAGACGATTCCTCTTGATGAAGTTATATAGTAAATATTTATTTTCTATTGCTCGATGATGAAAATACGCCATATCAAGATATACATTTTCAATCGGCTAATTTTACATTAGGTCAATTTGATAGTCTTCGTTCACTAACATTCAATAGTGTTAGTTTAGATTCGAAGATTAATCAATATTTCTTTCCAGATTTGTATCATTATCATCATTTAATGTATCTAAAATTTGTCAATTGCCGACTATTCCGTGTGAACGGACACGATTTTCAAGAGATAATTAATCAAATCGGAAATCTACCGAAACTGACTCCTTTATATTATGATAACTATTGTAGATGTGAAAACGAGTTTTCTGTTCCCAATTTCGTATATAAATCGTTACAGTGCTTAACTATTTGAAGGAATGATTGGGGTTCGTATCAATTTTTTAGACAAGATAGCTTATTTTTGAAAATTTTCGATATCAATGGACACTTATGAAGAAGATGATCTTCCTCTTGCTCGTTAATTGATACCATCACGACAAAATCAATTAGTTACAAAACTCGCTCTATCACTTATAAGTTTACGATCATAATGTCTATTTAGTGATATTTCTATTTCTCTAGCCCTCTTTTTCATATTTCAATTTCACAAAGAAGTGATGAAACTGTCAGAAGATTAATTATCACACAACAAAAGAAGAATGCAGGGAGGAAATCTTAATGGTTTTTGTCATAAATAGTGTGTTTTTTTCTTGCAATACATATTATGCTATGACAAAACCTGGTCATTATACTATCCATATACTTTTCTTGAGAATAAAACCCATTTTACAACCGTTGCACTAAAAACCTACTTTGATATATTCACAAGTAGGTTTCTATGGTTATATTTATTGTTTCTTTAAGGATATTCTAAGTATCAAAAGACATTTTTGTAGATAAACTTTTAGATGAAAACTTTTTGATTTGATTTTTGCTAGGAATACCTTCCTAAACGCCGAAAATCCGTTAGAATGATCAGAACTCTATAAGGAAATTGTATGGTGAGAAACATTTTCAGATTTCTTCTAAGTTCCTTAAGGCCTGATAATAAGCCAAATATCACTTCGACTTATCGATTGGATGTTCTCTCGTTAGTTATAGAGAAGCTCATCTTTTCTACAATAATCAATATAGCATATTTTCTTTATAATGCTTCATTTTCAAAGTACTTATATTCTTCTCAAATACCTTTCTCTAGGTATCTAGATAATCAATACTCTCCATAAAATTCTCCAATAAAACGTTGTTTTGTCCACCATATCGACATTTGCTTTTCTTTTCACTAGAAATATGTTCAGCTTTTGTGGCAATTAGTATATCAATAAAGACAAAGTTGAAAGTTTCTCATGTGGAAAACACATTTTCTTTTCTGTAAAAATTATTTTTTCATTCAATATTCGTTTTGAAATCTATTCAGAATAAATCTTAACGAGAAAGTAAAAAGAAGAATCCTCATATATTTGGCAGATAAAACAAAAGAACAAAAAATAGCTTATAAAATGGCAAGATGTGAAAGAATATAAAAACATTATTCAAACCTTCATTCAGAAGAGCAAAGACATTAAACTTCATGAGCTACCATTGATAACAATCAACCTATACAATTGAGTCATAAAAAAATCGACAACAATAAGCAAAATAAAGCTTTGTAAGCATGAATACCAAGGTAAAATATTCTGTAAATTTATCTGATTCGAAAATGATTATTTAATAATACTTAGTTTTTGAGAATCGGTGCTGTGATTGCAACTGCATTTGCTCTTGGGCTTGGTCTCATCATTGACCATTTTGGTATAACTAAGAAAACAAGTGATACATCTTGGAAATGTAATCGTCTTACAAGGCCAGCTGATCCAAAAAACTATCGAACATTTATTGATTCTATTGAAGCAGCTAATATTGAAGCAAATCTTAAGTAAACTTAATCAAACTATTGATTTCAATAAAAATATCTATGTCATGTAAAATTATATAGAAATCTCACTTCACGTTCTCATACGGCTGGTCTACTTGAAGATTTAGAAAGTGCTCAAGTCATTGAAGAACAATGGAAACTTGATGGTTTGCAAGTAACTAAACCAAAATACAATGTTCTTCTTTCGTATCCAGATGATAGTGAGCTTAATCGGTAAGTATACAATAGCAATCTCTTGATTGACTATTAGTCATATTTCTATTCAGAATTACTCTCAAACTTTCTAATGGAGCGGTTATATTTCAAACAAGTGGAACTGAAAAAAGTCTACGATCCAACACAACCAAAAACAGTCAATCCATTTCTTGCTTATACACCTAATAGAACTGTTTCTAGTGTAAGTTAAGAAAAAATATTCATAATTCATTCCATGTTAAAGAAAACATTCATGGTGAATATAATAGACGAAATTATTCTACGCGAATTATGATGAACTAGAAGATCTTCACAAATTAGCATCTATGGCTGGAAATGCTAGTCTTAAAGGCAGTATCGTTATTATGAGATATAGTCGTATTTTCCGAAGGGATAAGGTTTTTCTTCTATTATGGATGATACATACAATTATCCAGCTAATTATGCTCCTTTCGGAATAACAGCTGATCAAGTCTATGATCAAAAGTGGTATATGTCTCCAAGTGGCGTACAACGAGGGTCAGCTTTCACTTCGAGTGGTGATTCTTTGACTCCTATATATCCATCGACAGGTTTTGCAATATTTTCATTATCAGCTTAGGATGTATAGTGTACTAGACGTCAAGAATGCATGCTCCGTTTTAGGCTAAAGTTGCAAGTATTATAAATTATTGCTTTCAACTTTAAACTTTGTTACAAAATTGATACATGGCTATACTCGAAAGTTTACACACCAAGAAAAATATGGCGTTTTTGTTTATCTTGGAAGTGATCCAGACTAAGATATCATGTGACTCAGCCATTTGAGCGTAATTAACAAAATCTATGACTGCATGGTTGACCAGATTGCGGCCCTATCTTGAAAGAAGAACCCGTAATGACCAGTGCCACTTGGCCATTGTATGTTGCAAGCGGCACATATCGGAAAATTTTTCGAACGAAGCTGCCATTCACGAGCTACTATATCCAAACCGATCGCATTGTGCAAGAGCATATATGCGGCGAATTCACCCCATATTGTTCTCGAGCGCCATTTAGTGTAGGCGATTGCATGCGTACAATAATGTATGCCACGAAGGAATTGAAATAAGCCGTCGGCTGAATATCGAATGTTCGTTGTATTTTCTACATATATTGGTCCACACGTACCAAGATACAAGATGCCATCATCTTTCGCCATTTTTAGGCCTTGTTCGATAAGTCCTATGAAAAAAATAACATTAATCGTATGGGAGCAATCTATGTTCGATGATCGAGAACTTGACGTGTTACGCTGACTTTGAGTTAGAGGGAAGCTTGTAGGAAGGGAGTAAAATATAGATATGTTATACCATTTTCTACATGAACTGTCTATTTGACACCCTACTCATTAGAATTCGTAACTATACAACTGAAATACAGTGACTACTAAATTTACCCAACAAGCACGCAGAGTTTTTGTTTTGTTCATACTTCAAAAGCTCGATGAAGTGGAACAGGGTGGTTTTGTCATATCATGACTTGTGATCTCTTGTATATTTATGTTAAATTTTAGGTCTGACCAGATACCTATCGAGATTTGATGGAGGACACGATTGTAGTACAACTCTTCCATTCTTCCAAGAGTTATCCAGCAAGTTTTTTTGGGAATTCTTGTTCTTTCATTTAAATGTGATATCTTTTCACAAGATATTATTCAAAAGAGCGAATTCTGTTCTATACGATATTGACTTTGTACCGTAGTTTATTTCAAGTATGAGTACAAAAGACAGTTCATTCCACTAAATGTTTAGATTATTTTAGTGTTTAATATATCATAAGAAAAGGCATGAGAAATTGTATCAAATGTGCTGTTTAAATGAATATTTCGCATTAAGACATTGGATTAGTCCAGCTCCAAATCTACTGGTATTCCAAAAAAGCATTCAGACGCTTATAGCCATACATAGAGCCGTTACCGGTACGGACTTTAGACCGGTTGGTCTGTTACCAGCTTACTGATCTACTGTCAATCTTTTAAAGATTTTATGGTTTACTGTCGGTCTGCAGACATTTACTAGCTTAACTTTGCTATTTTCTGTTTTCTCATGAAGATCTTTGTAACATTCTTATTGGTCCTAATAATTATCATACATTTAATGTACTATGAAATTTCGTTGGAACTTCCCGAAACTAAATTATGCAACAAAAAAACTTTCAACACGTTTCATCTAAACGATGGTATATTTTGTTTGTGTTGCACACATTATATTATAGCTAGAATGAATAATAGCGTTGCGGTACTGCCGCTAATTTTAAGCAAAGCAGTGTACCACTGCGATACCTGTATCTACCAGCAGAGCGGTACCGATATCGGTCGTCAAAAAACTCTACCAGTTTCATCTATGCTTAAAGTTATACAGAGAAGAAAGGCCGTTGAGAATTTTGGATCATTAAATGAGATATTGTTGACCATTGCTTGGTGAATATCTCTTTCACATCTCATGTTATAAGGCTGAAAATTTTTCATAGTCTTGATACCACAATTTCAACATATCCTGATAGGTTCATACGATTTGCATATATATGGACCAATGTGAATGTTGACGAAAGGTGGATATGACTTCAAGTTTCTGAAGAATTTTTGAAGTACATATAGATTTAGAAGTCGAACAACTCTTTTTCTCAACATGAAATATTGATTCGCATAATATACCGAATACGATTTTTTTATGCCATTTCTAATAATATATAGAATATTGAAATAGGTTTAACATTAAGCAGAAAGAACTGTCTTACATAGCTTTTTTGTCTGACATTTCCGACATGAACTCCTAAACTGTCATTTCTTTTACCCATACTTGAAAGAGACTACGATATAAATTAATCATTATATACAAGCCAATTTGCTATTTCAAATGATGTGTCTTGAAAAAAACCTATTTTATAATCCGCGCACAGAGGTTCGAAACAAGACTTGTTGCATGATTTCAGAAGAATGAAAAATGCATACTAAAATTGGGTCCTCAATAAAACCTCGACTGATATATGAATCAATCTGAACTTTGGCATAATACACTAGAGATGATGAGTTATGATATGACGAAAGTTAAACAATTCTAATTATTTCATTTGACTTTTGAAGTATAAACAAAAGAACACTTCTGCGTGCTTCTTGCATAATTTTGATTGTCACTATCGGTACACTATTTCATTTAAAAGCTGGGAATAGCTACACAAATTTGAAAAGCCTTTGTTCTAATAGCAAAACAGAAAACTCTGACTATTCTAGGAAATACACAAGGGGAATCCTGTAATATATCAAGTGCTTTTTTTGGCACTCATTCTTTGATTAAGAAACTCGAAAGATCTATTAATAGGCAAAGAGTCTATCTAAATTTTTTCGATACATATATCGACAATAATGGATAGAGTATTTATCATCCATCAATAGATAATTAAAATTTATCTCTTTGCTAGATCCTCTGAGTACTCAGTACGGAGACTTCTAAAGCATCAGTCAGAAGCCTAGTTGCTTCATCAAATTAATGCGTGTGTAAGGTTTCATGTCACCGCATGAGGTTAGATGGACATGATCGATAACATCGACATGTACAACATTCGTACGCACCTCTTACCGAGTGACGTTTATCTGTATAGTTCCATCTTACAAAAATCGCTCCATAAGATCCTTCGATGGCTTTAACATGGACTATATTGACATCATCTTCGAATAGAAATATCCAATCATTTTCTTCTAACTCGGACCTTGGTTTCTCTCCTATTTCCTTCCATAAGTCGACATAAGTAAGTAAAAGTGATTGAACTCTCTTGTCACCATGGATATTGATTCGTGAATCGTTGAATGTGACAGGATGTTTCTGTTTGATATCAAAGTAATTTGGTAGTGCTGTATTCAGATTCATTCTTGTGAAATTAAAGCGTTGGTGCGATGAAGATATGATAATGGCTGAGTATGGAGGACCCGGTGTTTTTCGAATCTTTACAGAGCTTGCATTACGCAGATCAAATACTTTGCAATCGTTAAATTTAGTTTCCAGATTTATGAGGATAGTAACAGTAATACAAATTATACACAGGATAATGATTGGTTTAAAACGATCGAAGCTTCTATTAGAGTTGTTATATTTCGCGACACTGACAACCATGTTATAAGCATTGCCTACTAAAGCTAGTTTTTGTATAAATGACAACTAGAACACAAGAAATTGAGTGTAGTTTTTGCCAAGAAGGTTTATTGTAGACTAATGAGAACCAAGAGCCACCAGCATTAGCCACTAGTTCGTCGCTTCTGTATTACCTGCTACTACTGACTTCGCGGTAGACAAGTGGGTAGTTACCAGTTCCGATCTAAAATAGCAGCAACGCTTTACTCTGAGTGAAACACGACAAAGGCTAAAAGGATGATGTATTAATAAACATGTGTTGCTAGTTAACAAGAGAAAGTCGTTGGATTTCAAGGGTTGCGACTACTTCTGGCACAATACAGAGTTTCAAATGTAGAACATACTGTGAAGACTTTAGCAAACTCTCCAGTAATTGTTAAGTCGGATTTTGAGTGTCATTTCAAAAAGACATCATTCTGCTTGCAGCTTCAACGAAAAAACTTTAATTTTGAACATCATGTAGACTTTATCGAATCTGCTCGAATATCAAATGTTTTCAGACGCAATACAAGTGAATGTGTTGCTTGTACCTGGCTCAAGTAGGACCCTTGTTGTGAACTTGGCTCAGTATGGGACAATGGGAAAACGACACACTCGTGTACTTCTGTACTTCATGGAATTCATTGAATTCAGTGGAAGTACAATGGAAGTACAAGAAGTCATGGAGTACAGTATGAGTACAAAGAGTCCAGGGAGTATGTAATTACTGGACTATGCTGTGTCTCCCTTGACTTTATATTACATTTGATGTACTTCAGTAGTACGAGAGTATGTCATTTCCCCCTTTAGTATGGAGTCTTCAGGACTTAAGTCTTAGTATGAGCATCGATGTATATGAGGGTGGGAATAAAGGTTTGGCTATGTCTTCAAGTGTAGTCCTGATTGTTGATGAAGATCGTGGATGTAGTGGTGCATCAGATTTACTATAGAATTTTTGGTTGTGCATGTTGGATAGGATTTGAGATGCACAGCATAGCACGCCACTGTAGTGTGTGACACAATGTCTACGTTGCGCATAGGTATTTTCAGCCAAGCCGTACATGTTCAAGTATACTGAGAGACAGTAAGAATGTAAAAGTCTAAATGGTTTGGATGGGATGGTTGATGATAGGATTCCGAAATTGCTTAAAAAGTACATTTTGCATCGATTTTGCGGTAGACTGATTCGACACATTTGAATATTGCTATCCAATATGAAACATCAGTCACGTAAATTTAAAGCAACTAGTAACTGATAAAATACCAATACGTGCTTACTTAATCAAAAGCACTGTAATCACACGCAGATGAGAGTAGAATGGCTACTAAGAAGAGTGCAGAATTTTGCCGGTGAAAATAATGTTTGTCAATGCCGTTGTGTGCGTTAGTTGTTGCAGTGAGTATTTTTTCAGAGTTTCGGATCTTTTTTTCTTTTTCGTTCTCCATGTATGTCAACAGAAAAAGAATTATGAATGTTACAGTTTCGCTTGAAAGAGAAGAAAGAAAACCTTAAGATGTGAGTATAAGTATAGTTTGAGTGGTGTGCGCGTAGGTACTGATTTCGCTGTGCGTCTGCGTCAGCATCGACAATGGTTTGCACCTTATAGTTTACGCTACCATCAACATCCTATAGGCATCATTGACAAACGATGTTATGATGGTATCATAAATGCTATGAAACATTCAGACGGTTTGTCATTGATAATTATTAAATGAGAAAAGAATAACATTTAATTGTTTTTTCGTTCAATCTCTTGATTTATGTTTGATCGCTGTTAGAATGTTAATATTATCTCGTACAATGAAGTATCTTCCTGCGTAGCCAGAATTTTTTAAGAGAATATTCGACCATTTTCGATAACGATATTTTCTTTTGATATTTTTCCTTTTGAATTTGTATGACCAACCAAAATATCAGGATTCGCATGTAAAAACAGATGAACTAAAGAAAAAAAATTCAGTCTTGTTGACGTTTGGTATTTATATATAAGGCATCCATACCAACGATCGTGGGATATTAAATGAATTCTCATCATACTCATCATCGAGCGAAATCTTTTGATACATCTTAAAATCCTACGGGTCAGTCGAAAACTATCTGTTAAATTCGGTTATTTTCACGACCGACGATTAATCGTGATTAATTACCGATTACAAAAGTAATCGGACTTAATCGAGGCTTTCGACTAGCCCGTACGATATTCATTGAATCGATAATAAATCAGTTTCATTTTTTCCATAAAAATTTTAAGTTGAAGAAATTTCGGTTTGTATATGTAACGAAATTCTGTGGAAATGGCGGTGGGAGTATATCAATAGAAAAACAAGAATCTGACAAGAGTAAGTGCAAGAACGTTGGTTAGTTTAACTTTTGTTTATATATTCAGCAGCATTTGATTATTATAGGAATATTATACCTATATGTTTATTGAAGAATCGAATTAGGTAAAATACATCAAATGATTTTATGTATTTATTTCTTCAAACAATAGTTCCGTATGGTATCAATCAAACAAACAAAAAACAAAAACAAAACAACTTATGCTAATTTATCTTGAAGTAGGACGGAGAAAATGTTTAATTGTACAATTTTGTTTATGAATTAAACTTTAATGATATATATATATGTATATACTCATATTATCACGACTTCGTTTTTCTAAACAGTGATCTAACAATTGTGATGGAATTTGATGTAAATCTGTCGTCGATATTAGTTGAATTACAAATGAAGCAACTTGTTCATTCGACATAACATTCCAAATACTATTCGATGCACGAATAACAAATGCTACGGATTGTCTTTGAGAACAAATAATTATATCAGGAATAGGTGGTATTATATTTTTATCAATAATAAAATCTCCTAAAACTCTTGTCATTGCAAGACGTCGTTCAACACGTAAAATATCTTTTGATGATTTTCGTATTATGTTACCACTTTCTTCATGAATACGTTCTTCCTCATTTGGATCATCGGGTGTATAATCTAATTTTTCATGAAAACTAAAATAAATAAATGAAGAATGATTACCGTGAGTAGATGCTAAGATTTCTCCATTATCTGAAATAATTATAGTTCAAGCATCACCGACATTTATTAAATAAATTTGTTTTGGACCAATTAAACAAGTAATCTATTTACGCATATGTTTTTACAAGAAAAATGATAAAATAAATTTAATTGAAATACTTACACATACAGAATCACTGTTATCATAATCATTTTTTCTTCAATTTTTATCGAGTTTAATACAAGCTTTTTTAATTGCACGACAAAATTCTCTTAGACGAATTTTTTCTTGTTCGGATTGATCTTTTTTTCGATTATTTATTCGATTAAATTCATGTCGAAAATGAATATGAAGATAATTAGATGCATAATGTGCTGTATCAATACCTTTAAAATGAATATTTTTTATTTAAAAAGAAAAATTTTAAGTTTTAATATGTTGAATACCTGAATGACCATCAAATATAGCAAAATAAGAATATTTTTCTCATAAATAATGATCATCTAAATGTTTTAAATGTTGATGAAAATCTTCCATTAATTGTTAATATTCTTGCATTTAACTAAATCCAAACCATTTGCCATCAATTATTTCTTTATCTTTGGATAATTGATCAAGTGATTCTTGTCCCATAGTATAGTTTGTTTCTGTTTTTGATTTATCATCATTCATATTTATTGAATTTGACATTTAAACAAAACTCAAATAAATCTTTATTATTCAAAAACATAATTTTTCTTCTCTAAATTTTGTATTGTAACAATTTTTTGTATATCTTCGTTTGACATAACCATTTTCATATATTTATGAAAATCAAATCATTAAATTTTATTTATTTCAGATTAAACAAAAAACAAAGACTTATTAATCGAAATTCAAACCATATAAAACAGAATCTTATGAAATAAATCTTTAATCCATGAAAAGCAATCAATCGCAAATTAATTTATTTCTTATGAAGTCATCTTTTCGTTTGCTTTATGATTAATACTCATCAAATCACTCTTTTAAAATATTTCACATTAATATTATGAAATTTTTTTACCTTTCTATTAATTAAAAATATTTTACACTTGAATACATATTTGTAATATCAGATTCACTATCGCTCATTTGTGAAACTGTTTTTATGTTTCATATTTCTTCTATTAAGGACTCATAATAAAAGACGTCTAGGTCAAACTTGCGTTTTTTTAAACTCCTTTTTTCTCTCTGTTTAGCTTTGCTTAGTTTCATCACACTTTTCATACAAGATCAGTATAAAAACAACTTTTCAGAAAGAGGATGCTTGTTCAAACATACTACTTCCACAACACGTATTTAACTTTTTGCAAAGTTTTTGATTTTCTAATACATAATATTTCAATGTGCAGAAAATGAAGGAAAAAACTGCAACTCCCTAGCATGAAAATTCACTACAAAGTGCTAGTTATCAATGGAAGTCATACGATGTATGTTTTGTTTTTAGGAAAATAAGGATCCTCTAATAAAACTTGACTGAAAGTTTTAATGACCGATGTATACGAACCTATAGTTGATTTTCTCCGATCAGGAGAAAACTATTTAAAAACAAATTACAGAAAATAAATTTTTAACTGATCAAAATACTTGAATCTAAGAGTTTTTAAAAACTGATTAAATATTTGAATTTTTCGACCTAGGAAAACCTTAGCCAATGTTCATAAAAAAACACTATCATCCAAACATATTATCTGGGAGAAAATAATAAAAATATAAAAAAAAGCTCGGTACCAGTTGTGCTAGAGAATCGAATAAAGTTCAGATAACTACTCGATAATAGTTAAAAATTTTGCGCAAAAACCTTTGAAAAAAATTGTTCGTATCATGAATTTTGGATTAAAATACGAAACGCAATGTGCAGCTGTTATTGCCAATCACCAGAAGATCGTTTTCTTTCATTGATTTTAGGACACATTTCTTCATTATTATTTGCATTATACTTCAGAATTGTAGTAAGAAAGTCTTTCATATACGGACTGCACCAGTCTCTAGGGATGGCGTAAGCGAAAATTTTTATCTGTATGCTTCAACGTTTACTTCAGACTGTGTTTCATCGAAAAGGAAAACACGCGTAACAAATGTATGAACGCTCACGCATGTTTGACTGTCTGTCCATATTTGATGGAACCTCCTAACACCCTTTATAGAAACATCTTTTATGAATGAACCTTGTTTCTATTCATACTTAATGACGTTTTTTCTTCTTCGATATTAACACATTTTACAGAAATCATCTCGTTTTTTTCTTCCTTTTTCAATAGTTTACTCGATGATACAAGATGGAATTGATCATAGAGAGAGCATAGAAAGGATCATCTAAATATTAACAATAAGTTTATTTTTGAGATCAAAAATGAATTTTTCAAAAACAAAAACCCGTTTTCTATTCAATTTAAGTAGCTTAGAATTTTTTCAATGCTTGTCTACGTCTGTTTTCTGTATTTCTTTTAATAGAGTTTTTCATTGAAGTTTCTGAGCAAATATTCAGATGATTTTTTTTAATGAATTTAGAAAAAAATTCTGTTCATATAAGATTATTTGAACAATTTTTTTTGTAATATTAAACAAAATAATCAGAATCTTCTTTTAAATATTAAAAGTCTGAAATCAAGGCTTTTATTTGTCCTCAATAAGATATTTCTTCATTTAAATACGTATTTCAAATTGTGTAATCTGTGAATCTAAACGAAAAACAGTCGATAACAAGATGTTGTTGACAAACTAAGATTGGTACGGGTGTACGTCTTCTCTTCAATCACGTTCACACCCCACACCCATAGTGCTAGCATTACCCAAGCATTGTACTCGAAAAAATCCGTTCTATCCGGAATGAAACAGTTTCAAGTATGTTGTACTTTACCAGAACCTATCGCTTTAGAGAAAAACACTCTAATCGAAGTTTCCGAAATACTTCATTGATGGCTCTTTTTTCACCGGAACTAGGGTTTCGGTAAAGTGTAACATACTCAGGACCGTATTGTTCCGAAACAAAGGAATTTTTCTTTTTGTAGAGAGTAGGACAAATGGTTCTAATGAGTATGAGAAATTGCTTGATATCATGCTAAAGAATATAACTAAAAAAAGGAACGCAATCACGATGAATCTTCGACTAGAAATTTCAAAGAATGAAATCAATTTTCAATCGAAGATTTTAGCCAGGATTTGTTTATTCTTCATTCGTTCAGATAGAAAAATAGAAAAATTTATAATTCAAAACAAAAGACTCTCACCCAATAAATGATATTGTCAGTCAATTAATTATTCAATGCATTCGATAGGATTATAGTTTTGTCAAATAGAAATGTTTTTTTATTGATTAAATCTAAAAGAGTATAATAAGAAGAAAACTTGATCAATATGATTTGATTCACAAACGGGAAACATTGATTATCGATGAGAAAAGAATTAATTTGGACCAGTCAATTGTAGAAATATTCAAAG